CTTGGGAAATTAATTTGAAAAAGTTAATTAATTGGCAGTTCCGGAGGTGGCGCGCGCCACGCCTGGCCGGTCTTGCTGACGTCAGTGCTGACCCGCTGGAGACGTGCAGCTTCCTGGGCAGGGTGGGCAGAGGGACCCCGGTGCCCCAGTGACCTGGCTGAGCATCCCTGAGACAGGCAGTTGGACAGTGAGGAGCAAGGGCGGACCAGCGTCCTGGCTCAGAGCGGGCACCTGGGAAAGATCTGTTGGCTGGATGTGCTGAGAATGGACTCGGTGTCCTTAGAACGCAGCCACTTTGTATGTCCAGCAAGCCATTGTCCAGCTTCTGTGGTACACCCACCCCAGTGACTCAAGTGCCCCCAGCCGACACAGACTACGGAATGTTTTCTCCAGTTCCTCCAAAACCCTCTTCTCAAGGAAAACCTCTAAACCAATTCTCAAAGGCTTTTTCGAAGGGCGCAGGGGACATTATTGGGCCCATTGTGCAGATGAAGCAGCTGAGACTCGGAGAGGGTGTGACTTGCCCAGGTTGTTCGGCTGTGTCCTCCCAACAGGGTGGAGCAGGAGGCATAAAACTTGGTCTTCCCAAAGGACAAATGCCACAGTTGTTAGGATCCGACAGGCAGCTCCTCCCGAGCGTGAGTGATGGGGCCCTACAGTTGACTCTGTTCCCCAAGGAGGAGGCTGGAGAACATGGCCAACCCCCCATCCTTTCACTCCCAGCCCCATTTTCCCTATTTTCCTCCTTACCCACCCTTGGCATTTGTGGTGCCCTGTGTGTATGTATAGGGGCTCTCCCACCAACACCCATCAATCCTCAGGACCACCCAGCCCCATGCCCCGTGGCGCCCAGGGTACATAGAGACCCCTCCAACCACTACCTCCTGGGCCCCCTGCAGGGCTGCTGACCACAAGCCTCAGCCAGACCAAGTCCTGGTTGGAGGAGTGCTGGCTTTCAAGCAGTCTTTGTCCAGACAGGGGAAGGGTCGGGCTGGGGCAAGAGGTGACCAGGCCCAGGACATGTCAGGTATACTAACCCACAGGAAGCCGGGGAGGTGAGGAGGGTGGGCTCTCCTGAGCTGTGTGGCCTGGGACAGATCCCTTAGCTTCTCTGAGCCTCATTTTTCTCATCTGGGAAATGGGGATGATCATTTGTGCCATTCAGAGAGCTGTGGTGACATGCAGGGATGTATAACACTAGCAGCCCAGATCTCTGGGGCCTGCTCCGAGGGAGTCGGTCCATCCAGCATGCACCCTGGGATCTGTTTAGCCCATTCCCTCACCTCCAGGGTTTCCAGGGGCCAAGTGGGCCCTGCAGTTACCTTTGTAGGCCTCACCTCCTGTGGTTATTCAGAATAAAAGTGACCGGATGGGCAGGCTGGGCTGGGCACTCTGACACAGTCTTCTGGGTTTCTTCAAGATGCCACCCCCAGTCTGGAGTTTAAGTGGGCCACACCCACTGCCTGAGCATCCTGGTGGGCTGGGTATGGGGTCAGAGGAGAGATACTTCCTCTGCCAACTTCGCTTCCTCCAAAAAGCCCTCCCTGGTACTGCTCCCTGATAATTTAGTCCTGTGGTTAGCGCTCAGACCCTTCTGTGTGTGTGTCCGTAGGCCGGGAGCTCCCTGCCGGTGGGTCCATGGCATCTCCTGTCTGTATCCTAGTGTCCAGCACAGGGCTAGCACTCTATGAGGGGTCATAGGGCTCCTGCGTTCCCATCTTACAGATAGGTCAGTTAAGGCCCCATGAAGTCCTTGCTCAACCAAGGTCACAGCCTGTTGAGGGGCAGAGCTCAGGTGGGGGCGTTCTGGAGCCTTCAGGCCTCAGGACCATTCCTAGGCTTCCCCGGGCCCTGCAGTTCCTGACCACTGGCAGGCAGTGTTCTTCGAGTCCAGCCTTTAGCCCTGTGCTCCTGAGGGCTTAGGGGGTTCTGGCGTCAGACAGGGTCAGAGGGCAGGCTTTCATCTCTTTGAGCCTCAGTTTCTTCATGTGTAAAACAGGGATCCTAGCACTTCTTGTAGTGCTGGGTGGGGGGCATAAAAGATATCATCATGCACGTGTTGTTCTTAGCTTCAACGCCTGGAGTTCACCATCGTTATTATTAGGATGGACACTGTTATTTTGTTACCATCGCATTATTATTTATGCTCCCAGGGCCTGGCAGCTGCCGAGCGGTGGTGCACGCAGGGGCTCCGGGTCTGGGAGCTGAGCTCTGGTCTGCAGAAAAGAAGTTGCAGTTCCTAATTAGTTAGTGCTCCAAGGAGAGGGCCTGGATTTTAATTTTTGCTGCAGGGTCCCACCTGCCCAAGGCTTCCCAGCCCCTGTCATCCACTGGGCTGGGGCTGCGGCCCCCTCCCCAGCTTCAGGTAGGGGGCCTGGCCCCAGGCAAAAGCCTCCCCAAATTTCCCCTGCCACTCCCTCTGCCTCCCAGACCTCCGGGTCCATGAATCATTTATGAGGCAAAAATGAAACCAATTAAGGACAAACTTTGAAAGCCTCTAATTGCTGCGCCTGGTGGCACCGAGGAATGAGGGGAGACAGGCCTTCTCGGTGCGGAATCTCCTTGGCCCAGGCCTTCCCAGGCCGCCTGTCCCGCGGCGGCCCAGGGCGCCTCCCGGCTCCCCGCCGCCTCCCCGCCGGACGCGGACGTGCCTGCGCGGCTCTGGCGGCGCGGCTGCCACCCCGGCGCCCGCCCGGGTCCCAGGCCGACTAATTAGGCCCGGCTCCCTCCCCGCGCCGCCCACTGCCCGCTCCAGGCCGGCTGCCCGCTCCAGGCCCGAGGTGATGGCGGCTGTGCTGCCGTGCTGGGGCCTGTGCCCCAGAGCTGGCCGCGCTTCTCGGGCGGGAGCCAGCCCTGCCCGCCCGCCCGCCCAGCTTAACCCAGACGAGCCCGGGACGCCCTGTCCCTGAACTGGGAGGCGGGGGCCCCACACCCCCGCCGCGGGCCGGCAGGCTGGGGTGTGCTGGGGACGTGGCCGGTCTCGGGAGGGAGAGGCTGGTCCCCACGCTGGGCTGGAAGGGGCTGGGGCCGGTGCAGGGAAAGTGACCTACTGAGCTCCTGAGGTGTGACATTGGCGCACTGGGATCCAGCCGCCTAAGCTTTGCCACAACAAAGCGACCTACCGCACAGTCCTCAGCCTCGGTTTCCCCGTTTGTAAACTGTTAGCACCAGCCAGGTTTCTCCGAGATTTGGGATTGGGGGAGCTGGGCCGTGTATATCTCCGCCGCTCCGCTCCCTTGGGGGCTGCTGAGGGGTGGGGAGCAGAGTGGGGACCCCGCAGAGCCCGCCTCACTGCCCTGGGCCCTGGGTGCCGGTGACCAGCCTGCTGGCCGCGCTGAGGGCCAGGCGGGCCCTGGGCACTCAGGCACGTTGTTTGCTGAAACCAAATTTCCGTGCTTGTGTTTTTCCATAATTATATTAGCAGGTGGGATTTTTCCTCGGGGAAGCAGTGGGAGGGGGAGCGCCATGGCAGTGTCCCCGCCCGCTCTGAGCGTGAGCTCACACTCAGCTCTGCCCGCCTGCCGTAATGATTTTTTAATTATGCAGCCAGTGCTCGGAATTGCTAATCCACCTCCAGCCCAGCACCCCTCCTGCGGCTCACACCCTGGCCGATGTTCCTGGAGTGGCAGTGCCCAGCCCTGTGCCCATCGAGGAGCGCCATGGTGGGAGAGAGGGCCTGGGAGAGAGGGCCGGCCACGAAGGACCACAGGGGCACCTCTCCTCCATCTGCAAGTGGCAGGACTCGCGCCTCTCTTTGCCCCCCAGCCCGCCCCTAGCCCCAGCATGGCTTGCACCAGCCAGGACGCCGGTGGCTCTTGAAGGGGCTGTGGGGGGGGTAATCAGTGCCCACCCCTGAGTGACATGGCCACACCCATTTCGGGGACATTAGCCTGTCTCCCCAGCCTTGTGTGACCCCAAGGACACACAGGCACAAGTACAATCTTTGTCTTTGTCACACCCACACTCACACTTTGCTTCCCTTCTCCACACATACTCAGCTCCGCAGCTAAGCTACACAGGCACAATGGAATGCTCTGTGTGCTTCTCACACACAGCCGTACCTGAGGGTTGGGGCACCCTCAGGAGACCCCACTGCTGCCTCCCATGCCCTGCGTTGGCCCTGCCCCCACTGCCTTGCCTCCAGGTCCCCCCCTCCCCACTGGGATGTGCTCTGAGGTCTCCTGGCTCCTGCCTGGTGGGGTGGCTGCCTGTGGCTGGGGCCAGCCTGAGCCTCCATCGACCCTGGCCTGGGGGAGGTGCTGGGGGGGGTTCTGCAGCACTGTGGCGGCGGGCTCCTCTCCAGGCGCCCAGCTGTGGCATCTGTCAAGGTCAGATAGCGACTCCGGAACCAGCCGGCTCGTCCCTATGGCCCCTCTCGCCTCATTATTTTTGTGTTCCGGGGCTTCGAGACACCTCCCTCCCTCCCCCTCAGCCTCCCTCCTCCTGCCTGCCTCCCCCACGCCTCTGCAGGGAGGGCCTGCGGTCTGGGGGCTTTTGTTTTCCAGTTTTTTCCACGCTCAGGCCAGGCAGTCGGGTAGACGCTGGCCAGAGCTGTTGGACCTTGAATGGCAGACAAGACAGGTGTCTCCTTCATGGCTGGGACAGATTCTCCACTAGTGGGATCGTGGGTTGGTTTTTCAGGGGGACAAACAATTGGAGTGAGGCCGGGCGCGGTGGCTCACGCCTGTAATCCTAGCACTCTGGGAGGCCGAGGCAGGCAGATCGCTCAAGGACAGGAGTTTGAAACCAGCCTGAGCAAGAGCAATACCCTGTCTCTACTATAAATAGAAAGAAATTAATTGGCCAACTAATATATATAGAAAAAGTTAGCCAGGCATGGTGGCACATGCCTGTAGTCCCAGCTACTCGGGAGGCTGAGGCAGGAGGATCACTTGAGCCCAGGAGTTTGAGGTTGCTGTGAGTTAGGCTGACATCACAGCACTCACTCTAGCCTGGGCAACAGAGTGAGACTCTGTCTCAAAAAAAAAAAAAACTGAATTGAGGTGGAGCCCAGCCCCCACCACAGACCAGGCGCACCTGTGGGCAGCTTCCTGTTTCCATAGGGCCCAGCACGTGGCACTACTTCCTGTCTGCACCATCCTCATCCCAGTAGGGCCCCTGTCACACGTACCTCCCAGGGCTTTTGACACAACTCATGGTGCACACACACTGGTGTTCACACAGCAGATATGTTGGCACGCACCGGCCAGAAGAGCCGACAAACATCCACGCACCACATAAACCACTCGGCGTGGACACACACACACTTGGTGGTTGCATACATTCACAGGTGTGGGTTGCACGCCCCTCCAGTGTACGCACAGGGAAGTCACACGAAGACCTCCCCCTGCGCTGGTACATAAGCCCCTTGTGTGCCCCGGTGCCGCAGTCCACCGGACACACCCCACAGCGTGCAGGTGTCTGATATACCTCCTGGGCGGACACACAGAAATGTACGGGGTGCTCTCCTCACGTACACATTCCACCACCAAGCTCACTCCCAGGTGCCTGGCGTTCCCTGAGCAGTCACACCACTCAAGGGACTCTTGTCCCCTGCAATGCTGGGAAGTGAGCTCGAAGCCTCTGCTTGATGAGCGTGGGAAGTGGCCGTTTAGCAGGTGGACTGCCCTACCTGCCTGGGCAGCACTGGGACTGCTGGGGGCTCCTGGGTGTGTCATGATGGGTTTGGTGGCTGCTGGCTGAGAGGTGGGGTGCCAGTCAGGGGGTGACCACTCAGTGTCTGTCTCTGGGTCCTTCTTCCCATCTCCAGCCCCTGATCAGGGTGTGTAAATGGTGGGGGACTGGGATGTATGCAGACTCCAGGTCCCTGGGGTCTCTGGAGCAGCCCTGGCCATCCACTCACTTCCTCCTCCAGCTGTGGGCTGCTGTGACTACCCTCGAGAGGGGGAGGTAGCTGGAGGCTTAGCAGTGGCTGGGCCCCCACCCCCCAGGAAACTCAAAACCCTGGGCCAGCCGCGGGTGGCGGGTTAGGGCAGGCACAAAGAGGGCCTCTGTGTGGCCCGGCTGGGCTGCCCACAGGATTCTGGGGGAGGAGGCAGGAGCCAGTTTCCGTCCCGTTCTGCTTCCTGCGGAGGCCGCCGGAATGCCCGGAGCTCTGGCCCAGCCTGGCCCGTCCAGCCCACCCGCAGCCCCTTCCCTTGGCTTTTCCTGGGCTTTGGGGTACAGCTGCAGACTTCTCTGCAGCAGGGCCCTGATATGATTTGCCCAGAGCCTGAGAGCCACCCCCAGGACCCGTGGGAAACCTAGGGGTTCCCCCAGGCTGAGCGCTGAACTGGACCTCATCCTTCGGCTGAAGCCCTGCCTCCATGTGCCTCGGAGCCCTTGGCAAGTGTCAGAGAGTCACAGTCCTGGCTTTGACACCTACTGACCTTGTGACCTCGAGCAGGTGACTACCTCCCTGGACCTCAGTTGCATCATCTGTAAAATGGGAATAATAATAAAGGTTAGAAGAATCCAGTGAGATAATGCACGTTGCAGCGCCTGGCAGAGAATGAGTGCTCCTTGTTAGGACCTGCTGTTGTCATGTCCTCTGGGGAAATAAGAGCGGGAGGGACTGGGTGCTCTATCCCTACATAGGCCTGACGTTATCTGGGGCTCAGTCTCAACCCTGTGACCTGCTCAAAACCCTTCTCTCCAAATCTGCTTCCCCACCTGCAAATCACACCAACAGATTTAGGCTTCTGGGGCCCTCCTGAGATTTGGAGGGGGAAGGGGATCACTGTCTGGAATCTTTTTCTATGTCTCTCTACCTCCTTCCCCATGGGACACTCTGGGATCGTGACTCATGCAGTCCAGGCTGAGGAGCAAGAAACACTCTCCATTTTACAGGTGGGAATGGAGGCTTAGTTGGGGAAAAGGGCTAGATCAGAGTCACAGGTCAGGGAGGGACAGGGCGGAGCCACAAACCTAGACCTTGGGACTCCAGTTCCCCATCCAGGCCTGTTGACACGTGTTGCGCCTTCACCCCCAGGCACACGAACATACCCCACACAGGAGCCCCAGGAGACAGCGCCCCTCTCTGATTTCTTGGCTCACGTGTCTCTGAGCCAGCCTTGCCTGGGCTGCCTGAGGCCCAGCAGGAGGGAACGCCTGCGTGGGTGTCTGGCCTCTGATCCCAGATTGGTGTCGCCTCAGACAGCACCTCTTGGAAAGCGCTCAGTCCAAGATCCAGGGGATCCCAAGTGGACCGGGCATCATTTTCTCTGCATCATACTGCTTGTCAAATTTCCTGCTTCCAATGGGGCGACAACAGCACTTCCTTCAGAGGGTGGGTGTGAGGATTACAGGAGAGGAAGCATGCACGGTGTCTGGCACACAGGAAAGGGTTTCGTACATGTTAGCTGATCCTCATGGGCACATGTGACAAAAGGGGGAAACTGGCTCAGAGGCCACATGCCAAGGTCACAAAATGAAGAAGGATTCTCCTTATCTTTTGTCTTCCAGGGCAGGAACCTGGCCAGGGCGGGTCGTAATGAGGACAGCCCTGTCTTCACCAGAGGTGCCCTAGAGCCCCAGGTCAGAGCAGACCTCCTGCCTGGGGCCTGGGGTTGGGGCTGGTACCCTCTAGCCGTGCCGGGGAGTTTTGTGAGACAGAACAGAGGCCACATACTAGGGGGCTTTCACCTGTGTGTCGCAGCAGCACATTCAGTTCTCAGGCCAGGGAGTGGTACCTGCCCAGGGAGGAAGGGTGGAAGAGTGGCGGGATATGGGTCTGGGTAGGAAATATGATTGGGTGCTAGTCTTGGGGTGACCCTAGTGGTGTTGAGGGCATGTCTCACCCCAGGCCACCCGCTGGGTGCCAACAGTCAGCTCAGTGTGTCGGGGCGTGTGCGTTCATCCGTGGCTGGGCGCGGATGCCATGCTGTCCGTCTGGGCTGCGTTTCTCCTGCCTCCCGGACCAGCGTCCCGTGTGCATCTCCTTGGGCCTGAGAGGAGCTTCTTTTTCCCTCTGGAAACTCCCCAGGCTGAATCATGGAAATCAGAGACGGAACATCCCCCTGCTTCCCCCCACCACCCCCCAGTTCAGCTCAACCACTGCAGCTTGCGGTCTGCGCTCCTGCCGCCGCCGGCCAGCCTGCTGTCAGCCCGTCTGTCCGTCTCCCTCTGAGGCCAGGGATGCGTCCACACGGGCGTGGGGAGGGTTGTGGGGGGTGTCAGGAGCTGCGTGGAAGCCTGGGGCAGGGTGCGTTGAGCCGGGCTGTGTGGGTCTGCCAGGCCACCCACCCGGATGCCGGGCCATGGCCTTGGGGTCCTGACACACAGCCTCCTCCGGGAGCCTCCCTGGGTCCAGCCCGCCCAAGGAGAGGAAGGACGGGGCCCTGCTCAAACCCTGCCCTCGGTAGTAGTGATGTTTGCACAACTCTGCAAATTTACTAAAAATCATTGAATTATATACTTCAAAGTGAATGGATTTCATAGTATGTAAACTGTACCTCAGTGAAACTGTTTTAAAAAGTCCTGCCCGATTCAGACTGTGCCAACCTCATAGCCGTATCTTGCACCCACTTCCCCCATTTTTTAGGAACTCTTTCGGCCTGCGTCCCCTCTGGCAGCCTCTCCTTATCCTTAACTCTCAGCCTAGCAGTCCCTTCCTCCAGGAAGGCCCCAGATGCCCCACTAGGTCCCCTTCCAGCTCTTGTTTCACACTGGTTCTTGTGACCGTGGGCCCAGCTCCTGTGTACTCCTGGAAGGCGGTGCTAGGGCCTGGGTCTGTCCTCCACTGTCTCCCCAGTGCCACAGGGCCCAGGGCCGCTATTGAGGAAGGTGCACAGGGTGGGGGGGGGTATGTGCAACCAAACCTCTAAGAATGTCCCACTGGGGCCACCTGTGTGCGTGTCGGCGTGCAAACAGCACCAGCTCACACCAGGGTGTCCCTCCTCCCCCATGCTGTCTGGCCTGAGGGTTCAGGACAGAGCCCTGCTTGGGGTGAAGTAAGGCTCTTCTGGGGCTTCGGGTGGAGTAAGGGCACTGCCACCACCTCTGGTGACCTCATTGCCAGCTGTCATTATGATGTCACTGGCCCAGCGTTCCAGGTTCCTGCCTGGGCATCTCCAAGCCCTCCAGGTGGGGGCACTCCCCTGGGGTCTGTGACAGCTTGCCCCCCAGCCACGGAGAGGTGACGGGCACGGTAATAATCCTGGGTGACAGGAGCAGGCTGAGGGGTGGCTGGGTCGCCCTGCCTGGGGCCCCTGGGCCAGTTGCCAGGTAGAGCAGAGGTAGTCACTGAGCGGGCTAACACTTGGGCTCTGGATTCACGTTCTTGCCCTACCAGGCGCCAGCTGTTTGACCTCAGCTGACAGCTGGAACCTCTGTGAGCCTAAGTGTCCTCCTCTCTGACATGGTTAATGGTGGCTATCTCCTGGGTCTTGGGGCAGCGTCCAGGAGGTATGACTTGTAAGGCATGAGCGCACAGGGCCTGGGACACGTTGGCGCTCTGTAAGTGCTAGTTAATAGGATTAGTTAGTGAAGGGTCCCTGAGTGTCAACTTTGGTGGGGGCCCGCTAGAGGGGGCAGGGTCTGTGCCTTTTGGGGCTGGCCAGGGCCTTAGGGTGGAGGCACGGGTGGCCCCCGATGCCAGGAGGGTGGTCTTGGCTTTGCCTCTCCAGCTTTTCTCAGCTCTGCTGATGAGCTTGGGCCTGCAGGAGGCAGTGGTCCTGCGGTCATGCCCCGAGGCCAAGAGCCCAAAAGAGCCCATCGCCCCCTGCCCTCTGCCCCCTTCCTCTCCACAGGCCGTGGGCAGAGCTGGGGGGTCTGATCTGGCCTCCCCCACTCCCCCCTCTCTGCCCCCACTCTCCCATGGGCCTGTCCAGCCGCCTTCCCTTGGTCCCCATGCCCTGTGTCTCGGCCTCCCTCTTCAGGGCTGTTTCCACGCCTCTCAGACCTGCAAGTCCCCAAGCCGGGGCTAGGCGCCCTGGCTCGCTGGGTCTCTCCAAGCCCAGTCGCCTCAGACCCTGCTCCCCATGACACTCTGTCCTCTAACCTTGACCCCTTGCCCCTCCTCTCCAGCTCTCCTTTTCTCTGACCCACCCCTCGAGTTCCCTGTCTCGTGATTGTTTATCCCCACCACCTGTCTCCGTTCTTCGGCCCCCATGTGCCCCTCTGCCCCCCAGCTCTCCGTGGCTGGCCGCCCCCTGGCCCCCTGGGCTCTGTCCCCGCCCGTCAGCCCCTGGTCCCAGCTCCCGGCTGGCCGGCTCCTGCACGGACAAAGGGGTCCTTTGTGGGCTGACCGCGGCTGGCGGGGCGGCGGGGCGCTGGCTCCGCATTGCTGATGAAACGGAGCCCTTTGTTGTCCCTCCTCAGGCGCAGTATTTCTTTTTGGGGGCTGGATGCGTTCCTGGCAGGGCCGATGATGGATGCGCCCGCCGCCGCCCGCCTGCCCGCCAGCTTTCCCTCCCGCTCATTCCCGCTCCGCTTCAACGCAGCCCCGGCTCCTCCCCTGCTGCCTGGGCACTGCCAGGCCCTTCCTGGCCGGGAAGGGGCTGCTGTGGGCCCCGCAGTAGAAGGCTGGGGCAGAACATTCCCTCTGTGTCCACCCCTTCCATGAGTAGGGCACCTGGGGCTTGTGGTCAGGGATCCACTGGGACCAGGGCATCAGTTTTTCCTAAGGTCTAAAGGAGAAGATGACCAGGTAAAGGACAGATTTGGAACAAGCTTGAGGACTAGATGTTATGTCTGCCTGCTCTGGATTTGAAGACAGAGGTAACCCTGTGGGCCAGGGGCTGACAAGCCATAGTGTGCTGCCCATAGCACCTGTTCAGTGACATATCACGTCCTCTGGTCTCAAGCTCAGCATGTCCCAGGACCTGGGAGGCTGGAGGCAAGTGGTTGCTGGGGAAGAACAGAAACGTGGAAGATCAGAGAAATTGCAAGAGAGGGCCAGAGATGAACAGAACATGAGGTTTGGTCCCCACCAAGAGAGACTCAGGATGGAGACAAAAGCAGAGAGACTGAGCGGAGCGCCGGCCCTGAACGCAGGCCGGCTGTGTTGGAGGGAGCTGACTTCTAATTGACCTGCCGCCCCGCACGCAGAGCCAGATCCTGGAGCTGGGCGGAGGGAGGAGTGAGCAGAGCAAGAGCAGCGTTAATGCAGCTATCGATTTCTGCCACCAGCCAGCGGGCTGCAGAGGCGGGGGACATACACAGGGGCTGGGGCGCAGACGACTCCCCTCCCCACCTCCCCAGCCCACAGACACTTGCCTTCTCCTGTCTTCTCGCCCCTCTCCCTGTATCTGGGGCTGCTGGCGTTGTCGTCCAGGGCGGGGTGGTTGAGCTCAGATGGGCAGGGGCTGGATGAGCTGACTTAATGGTTTCTGAGCCCTGATCTCACTGGCCCTGGTCCCCGATGCCTGGAGGGGTCACCATTCCATGAGGACAGGACCGAAAAGCCAGCCTGGGCTTGGCCTTGGAGGTGACAGAGAACACAGCTTGGGAACACGTGGTCTCCTTCCTCTTACTATGCCTCTGATCTCTGCCACCCCCCATCCCGGCCTGGACACCCTGCCAGGCCCTCCTGGGCCTGTGCTGGTGGACTCTGTGGCTTCCCCAGCTCTTCCTCACCACCTGTTTGCCCGAGCTAGGCAGGAGCGCGGTACAGGTAAAGGTAGGCAGGTGCCCACAGGTGAGGGCCAGGGAGTGTGGCTATTGACAACGGCCAGTTGCCTCAGCCTGGAGACAGAGTTGTCCCTTTCCCACACTTGTTCCTCTTTGTGGCCATTCCCTAGCAGTCCTGGGCCAGGAATCCCTGCCTTCTCAGGGCCTCAGTTTCCCCCTTTGTAAATGTAGAGGCTTGGACTAGATGATCTCCCAGGATGGGCTGAGTCCTGTGACTGGGGGATGGTGGGGTTGCCTGGGGACAAAGATCCAGTGTGTACTGTCTGCGAGCCCAGGGCGGGATGGGGCCACCAGATGTGCGCCTCCCCCTTGAGCGGCCAGCTGCTCAGGGGCTGGGCCCTGTCCTCCCACCCCTCCCCTGGGGGGTGCTAGGCTGCAGCAGGCAGACAGGGAAGGGACACTGGAGAGCCAAAACGAATGAGGAAACCGCCACCCCACTCCATTTAGAGCAGTTCCTTCCACCAAGGAGGCCGGCTGCTCGAATGCCCTAGCCTTGTCGCCCCAGTGGGCCAGCCCCATCCTGTGGAGGGCACCTCAGAAATGGGGAAACGGCCAGAGGACAGGCTCCACTTGGCTCTGTTCCCTCCAGGTCCCTGCTGCTCTGTCAGTGCCAGTCTGTCTGCAGCCACCCCAGCTCTCCGGGTTCTCCAGCCAGGCCCCGCACCGGTCTGGGAGCGAGGCCAGAGCACAACAGCGAGGCCCACGTAGAGAGAAGAGTGGGTCTGAGATGACGACTGCGGTTTGGGAGCAGAGGAGGAAGTCTGTGCACAAGCATGACCTCCCACTCCAGCAGGGAGGGCCTGTCCTGTGGCCCAGTGCTGCTTGCACTCTACTGGCAAATTCTGGGTTAAACAGGGGCAGACAGGTTCCTTTGGAGCCTTCCTGCAGGACTTGTCAGAGCCTTGAGATAACTGATGTATATTAGAAATCTCCAAAGGAGGATCCAGGGGCAGTTAACCAGACTTTTTGGTCTCCACCTTCAAGCATTCCTCTCCTTAGATGGGTCAGGGGAAGGAAGGTTAGCAAGTAGAGGTGACTCTGTGTTCCCCTACAGTGAGGAAGCATCTCCAGCTCTCCCCACCCCAGCACAGGAAGCACTGCCTGCCTCTGTCTGGTCTTCCTAGACTCGAGCAGGGCAGCTTTAGGCTGGGCTTCCGCCATGCCACTCAGTGCCTGTGTTGCATGGCCAGTCATTCTCCTAACCCTTGTTTTCATCATCTATCAGATCAAATAGAGAATTACCAGCCACCGCTTCACAGGGTTCTTGGGAGTCTTAGCTGAGATAGTGCAAGTAAAAAAAACTCCCAACCAGGCTGGGTCTGGCACTTAATAAAAGCCTGGTCAACCTTGTGGTTGCTATGGCAACGATATGGTTGACAGTGGTGGCGTTGATGTTGAAGGAGGAGGTGTTCACCCTAACCTTGTATCCTCCTGTCCTGACAGAGTGAAGACACTTCCACGCGGACACCTGACCATGTGCCTGCCCTGAGCAGCGAGGCTCACCAGGCATCTGTGTCGCGGGCAGCAGAGCCAGGTGCTCATCCGTGGCCCCCGGCAGTTGGCAGGCTCCCCCGGTGGCGGGACCCGGGCCTTGGCCCCACCATGTCGAGCCTCGGTGGCGGCTCCCAGGACACCAGCGGCGGCAGCAGCAGCAGCAGCAGCGGCAGCAGCACCAATGGCAGCAGTGGCAGTGGCAGTGGCCCAAAGGCGGGAGCACCAGACAAGAGCGCAGCGGTGGCTGCCACTGCGCCAGCCTCAGTGGCAGATGACGCACCACCCCCCGAGCGTCGGAACAAGAGCGGTATCATCAGCGAACCTCTCAACAAGAGCCTGCGCCGGTCCCGCCCGCTGTCCCACTACTCCTCCTTCAGCGGCAGCGGCGGCGGCAGCATGATGGGCGGGGAGTCTGCTGACAAGGCTGCTGTGGCCACAGCCGCCTCCCTGTTGGCCAACGGGCACGACCTGGCAGCGGCCATGGCGGTGGACAAAAGCAACCCTACCTCAAAGCACAAAAGTGGTGCTGTGGCCAGCCTGCTGAGCAAGGCCGAGCGGGCCACGGAGCTGGCAGCCGAGGGACATCTGACGCTGCAGCAGTTTGCGCAGTCCACAGAGATGCTGAAGCGCGTGGTACAGGAGCACCTGCCGCTGATGAGCGAGGCCGGCGCCGGCCTGCCCGACATGGAGGCCGTGGCCGGGGCCGAAGCCCTCAATGGCCAGTCCGACTTCCCCTACCTGGGCGCTTTCCCCATCAACCCAGGCCTCTTCATCATGACCCCGGCGGGCGTGTTCCTGGCCGAGAGCGCGCTGCACATGGCCGGCCTGGCCGAGTACCCCATGCAGGGAGAGCTGGCCTCCGCCATCAGCTCGGGCAAGAAGAAGCGGAAACGCTGCGGCATGTGCGCGCCCTGCCGGCGGCGCATCAACTGCGAGCAGTGCAGCAGTTGTAGGAACCGAAAGACTGGCCATCAGATTTGCAAATTCAGAAAATGTGAGGAACTCAAAAAGAAGCCTTCTGCTGCTCTGGAGGTAACGGCGCCATAGAGGGAGGTGTGTGTGTGGGCTCTTGCATCTGTCTGGAAGTCCAGACCAACCCCCAACCCCAACCCCACCTTTCCTACCTGGGCAAATGCCCGAGGGATGCCCAGCCACTCCTTGAGGTCTGGGATCTGGCTGCGAGACACCACTTCACCGCCCCAAGGTCAGAGCCACATCCTGAGGGCCCATGAGGCTGTACTTTGCAAGGCAAGCATACAATTCCAGGTCCAGCATTCCCAGCCAGGCCCTGGGATTCTGATCCCTCCTGGGGTTCTGGGTCACATACTGAGATTCCCACACAGGTCCCAAGTTTCTGGTGTTCTGACACGTCCAAAGCATCCAGTCCATGACCTAAGATTCTGGGACTCTCTCTGCCCCATTTGAGGAGTTCTGTCCCATGGACCCTGTGGCCTAGAGGGTTGGCCTTTCATTTGCCCCTCCAGGGCCCAGTCTTTCCCCCAAGGCCACCCAAGGATAGAGCTGCTCCAGTGCTGGTTGCCTTGCTCTGGCACCTGGAAGAATCCTTGGTCTGGGAACCTAGTTGACAGATTGTTTTAGGCTGAGGTGGGGGGTGGGGTGGCCATGACCCTGGAGTATAGGCCAGGGTCTGTGCACCATGAGACTGGCTTAGAGAAGGCAGAGGGGTTCCCATACTGCCTTCTCTCCACCCTTGAGGGCCCGTCCCTGTGCCCCCAGATGCAGCAATCTAGCTGGAGTGCCAGCCCTGGCCACAAAAGCATCTTTTCAGCCTGCTGTCTCTGCCCCTGTCCCCGCCCCTCTACAAGTGGGCTGGATGCAAATGTCCAGAATGGTTGGAAAACAACAGTGGTGTCCCAGCCATGGCCCCCTGGCCGCCCTCCCCAGCCCCAGCCCTCCTATTTCTGCTTTCCTGTGTGCACACATAGGCACCCTCTTTGGTCCAGTGTGGACACACACGCGTCCCTGCCCAGTGCACACGCTCTTACAGACACGGCCACTTGATAAACACGCCAAATACCTCCCCTCCCACACAGCTCCATGCGCGCTCCATAGCCCAGCGGGCGCGAGGCGCGCGCCCGCACGTCCAGCGTGCACGCTCACGCGCTCCTTGACAAGCATGCACACGGCCCCCAGATGCGCCGCAGCCCCCGGCTCTTGTTGCACTGGGGCCACGGAAGGGGTCTTCCCGTCTGGAAGGAGGGTCCCTGGGCACAGTGGCTCAGGAGGCCTCGGGGGACTCTGGGCCCTGCAGCGGCCCAGCGGGTCAGGCCCCCTCTCTGGCCTGGCTGGGACAGCAGGAGCGCCTCGGAGTGGCTGCCTCGCTCCGCGCCTGTCCCTCCACCACGAGGCCACCCGCGGGACGTCTTTTCGCCAGGCCCATCCGGACCCTGACTGAACTCTCTCCTTGTTTTTGTCTCCCGCCCCCGCCAGAAGGTGATGCTTCCGACGGGAGCCGCCTTCCGGTGGTTTCAGTGACGGCGGCGGAATCCAAAGCTGCCCTCTCCGTGCAATGTCACTGCTCGCGTGGTCTCCAGCAAGGGATTCGGGCGAAGACAAACGGATGCACCCGTCTTTAGAACCAAAAATATTCTCTCACAGATTTCATTCCTGTTTTTATATATATATTTTTTGTTGTCGTTTTAACATCTCCACGTCCCTAGTATAAAAAGAAAAAGAAAAAAAAAATTTAACTGCTTTTTCGGAAGAACAACAACAACAACAACAACAAAAAAAAAGAGGTAAAGACGAATCTATAAAGTACCAAGACTTCCTGGGCAAAGAATGGACAATCAGTTTCCTTCCTGTGTTGATGTCGATGTTGTCTGTGCAGGAGATGCAGTTTTTGTGTAGAGAATGTAAATTTTCTGTAACCTTTTGAATCTAGTTACTAATAAGCACTACTGTAATTTAGCACAGTTTAACTCCACCCTCATTTAAACTTCCTTTGATTCTTTCCGACCATGAAATAGTGCATAGTTTGCCTGGAGAACCCACTCACGTTGTAAGGAGAATGTTGATGGCGCCGTGTAGGAGCCCCTCCGCGTGCATCCACGCGTGCAGAGCTGCCGGCGGAGCTCGCAGAGGGGGGAGCGCCCGCCCGGCCCAGGCCGGCCCTGCCGCACCCACAGCCCCCAGGCTGGGATCCCCCCGCCCCAACGGTGATGATTTTGGAAAAATGAAAGTTCTGTTTGTTTATCCATTGAGATCTGGGGAGCCTCTCTGTCGATATTTCCAATCCTGGCTACTTCCCTTAGAGAAAATAAGTCCTTTTTTTCTGGCCTTGCTGATGGCGACAGAAGAAAGGGCTCCTCCGCGTGGTCCCCTGCCGGTGGGGGTGGGTGCCCAGGGGCCCCCTGCGGCCCGGGCCGCCCTGCCCATGGCCAGCTTCCTGCTGATGAACATGCTGTTTGTATTGTTTTAGGAAACCAGGCTGTTTTGTGAATAAAACGAATGCATGTTTGTGTCACGAAGCACCACTGGCTTCTTGCTCTCTGGTTGTGGGTAGCTGGCTTGGGGGGCTGTTGCTGGGCAGGGGTTGTCTGGGACCACCTTGATGGGGAAGAAGAGTAGCCCAGGGACATTTAGAGTGCAGATTCCTTGGGAAGAGAGGCCTTCTGGATGCAGAATGGGGGAGAGCAGGAGCAACCAGCCTGGCAGGCAGGATGGAGAAATGCTCTGAGTCTGGAACTAGCTGGCACTGGAGTACCTCACCTGCCCGCTGTATCCCGTGCCTAGAACCTGGGCCTCCAGGGATCTTCACTCACCTCGGGCCCCCTTCTCTGTTCTCCTAAGTTCATCAGGGCCTGATCAGTGCAGAGCAGCCAGCAGTAGGGAGTGGTAGGGGTGGGAGCTCAGCTGCCTGTTCTGGTCCTATTTCTTCCTGCATGGCGGTGGTCCGGTGCCCCCCAGCCACCGATCCGATCTGCAGGGAGCAGTTCTAGCTTGGGTCGTGGGGCCCCGCTGTGCCCGGCACACACACACACAGACACCCCCACACATACACACATGTTCCTCTTTAGGCCTGGGGGCTGCTAGTCTGAGTTCTGAGGGTGTCCCTGGCTTTGACTGTCCCCACCCCAGAAGGTTTTTGGTACAAGATTGTCTGGGACCTCAAGGGCCAGATGTCTGGGGAAGTCACCACACAGCCACGCGGTCTGGGCCGTGGCGGTCTAAACAGGAAGGGTGGCAGTTGCCTGTCCTCCCCATACAGCACAGAGGCAGCCTGAAGGAAGAGGCCTGTCCATCCACTGGGGGAGCTTTCTTCTCACCCAGCTGCTCTGAGCCTGGCTGCGCTGGCGGCTAGACTTGAGGAAGGACTTCCTGATACCATTGGGGCCTGGCTTCAGGTAGGTGAGGGAAGGAGCAACTTCTGAAGCCAAGTGGGCTATGAGGTGGGGAGACGGGCTATCTCTGCCATTGTTCCTGGGAGGAGAAAGCAGCCATGTTGGGGGGCGCTGCGCCCCAACCCCTTCCCGGTGTCACAAGCTCCTCTCCAGCACCAGGGCCTCCGCAGCCCGGCCTGGCCCAGCGGGGGCGGGTGGGGGTGGCGGGAGGCAGCTTTCAACTTCATCTCTGCCTGGGAAAAATTCCCTTTCATGTGGCTGCCTGTGATCTCTCCAGGCGGCTCTGCCGAAGGGGGCGTCCAGCAGGGAGTAGGGGGAGCTGCTGCGGCTGGGGGCACTCTGGCCCCCAGCACAGGGCAAGCTGCAGCACCTCGGGAACCTCGAGGGAGGGGGAGGGTCCTCCCCGGGGAGTTGGGGGGAGCCTGGCCAGCAGGGGGCACCCGGGCCAGAGGCCCCTGCCTGCCCCGCCCGCTGCTGGCAGCACACAGGCTGCAGATGGCCTCAGCCGGCGTCATTGGCACACCTACAGGTGTGGGGTGGACGGCTCTGGGGCCAGCCCCGAGGGGGGGTGCTGTGACTCAGCCGCCTGTACCTTTTAGTGTGCCAGCCCGCAGCCCAGCCATGTGTCCTGGGCCCACCCCCAACACACACCCAAAGCTCAGAGCCCGTTGCCTCTTCCCGCTTCCTGCTCCGCTTCGTGGAAACGGCAGGCCAGCCCCTCTGTGCCTGGAGGAGGCCTGGTGGAGACGGCTGTGAGGCTGAAAACACGCTGAGGACTCAGTTACCTCATCTGGGAAACGGGACGGTAACTGTGTCCCCCATAAAGTTGCCTGAGGATGAAATAAGATCACGCCAGGGAAGGGCCCGGCTGGTAGTAAGCTCTCAATTAGTGGCAGCTGGTGTTGCTATTTGAAAACTATTATTCACCTAAATCTCACCAAGGTGTCCCCCACCTTCTGCCCAGCTGTGTATCTTCCTGAAGCCCTAGCCACCCCCACGCCCCGCTCCAGAGAGTGGCCCAGCCTCCAGCCTTCCCCTGCCTGGCCGCAGCCTGTCCGTCTCTCCGGTTCTCTGGCTCACTGTCTCTGCATCTCTGTCTCGATGGTCTCTATTGGTCCCTGACTCTTCTGTGTCTGTCTCTAAGTATTTCTGGATTTCTGAGCCTCCGTGTGTGTCTCTGGGTCTCTGGGTCTCCTGTCTCTGCATCTCTGTATTCCCTGCACTTCGCTCCTGGGTCTGCGTCTGCAGCAGGCTCACCCCTCTGCCCTCCCGTCTAGCAGACCAGAGTCCGAGGCAGGCGCCCCCCTGGGGTCGTGTGCGCAGTTCCCCTCTGCTGCAGTCGGAGCCCGACCTGGTGACCTGGGACCCTTCACCCCAGGCACCCTGTCCCCCCACCTGGGTGATCCGGCATTCAGGGCCGGCTCTGGGGGTAGGAGTGGGGGGTTCACAGAGGCTAGGTGCACACACGGGGCTATAAGACACGTCTGGCCTCCATGTAGCCCCTGCATGGACCCTCGTGTGTGCGTGTGCGTGTGCGTGTGTGCGTGTGCGTGTGTGTGTGTGTGTGTGTGAGAGAGAGAGAGAGAGAGAGATGCTTCAAGGCCCTGACACCTACGTGAGACCTTGTGCATCAGTGTGGCTATGTGTGACATCAGGTGTGACATTATGAAAATAGGTTTGTGACAGTGTGTGGGAGACTGATGTGAAACCTCACGTGGCCATGGATTAGTGTATGATGTCCATGGCCACACTTTGGGACGTTCTGTGACATTGCACGTGTGATCCTGTGACATGGTGCAGTCCTATAACAGACCCAGTGTGATACTGGGTTGCACAACTGAATGTGTGACGCTGGGTATGCCACGCTGATGTTGTGTGGCATTGTGTGACCCGTGGCAACACTTAGTGATTCAATGAGCGTATGACCTTGTATCTGTGTGACTCGTGGGGATGGCCCTGGAACTGACATCAGGGATTGTGTGTGAGTGTGTGATGGGTCTGCAGGCCCACGGTGTGACCCTGTGATGCTGCCCGGATAACCCCAGGTGTGTGGCTATGACACCGTGTCAGTGTGCACCGGTGCGCCTCTCGCAGGCTTGGACGCCATTGCCATGTGTGCCTTTGCCTGCAGCGTTTCCCGGGTCTCGGCCCTGACAGCCGTGCAGCTCTGGGGAGAGACGGGGGCTCTGGCAGCCCTTCTCACCCCCAGCCTGCGGCCCTGCCTGGCCCTGAGGCCCAGTCTGCATGCGAGGGCTAGCGTGGGGGCAGCAGGCGCAGTTCCCACGGCCACCGTGGCCCCTCTCCCAGCCCATCACCGCCTGCTTCAGCTCCACAGAATATCCTGGCAACCCCAGCTTCTTTGTTCTCCGAGGCCGCCAAAGGCCTCTCCCCAACCCAGCCTGCCCAGCGCCCACCAGGCATCCCCTCCCCCCCACGGCAGCCAGGCTTGGCCTGACCTAGTCTCTAGCTGCCCTTATCCCCCAACCCAGACTGGGGCCCTGTCCATGTTGTGCAGGAAGAAGGAAGCAGGATAGCTCCTGTGGCTGTACTGGGTGATCGTGGGCCAGGAGCTGGACTCTGTGTGAGGACTTCCCCTTAGCCCAAGGCTAGTGGGAGGCTCAGTCTTCAGCCTGGGACAGTTTCAGTTTGTCCCAGTAAGTTTATGTTTTTGGCTCCAGGAAGTCATCAGGACAGGGATTATTATCTACACTGACGGCCAGAGACAGTATGTGACTTGCCCAAGAGCAAGATGGTGGCAGGTCCCTGATTAGAACCAGGCTCTTAGCGGCCTTGGGAGAAGGACCAGCTGCCTCCAAAAGAATGGAGAGGGGGCCTGGGAGTATGGACACATGGGTCCTTGCTCATTTTTTGGTCACCATGTGTCAAAGCCGTGTGTGTGTGTGTGTGTGTGTGTGTGTGTGTGTCCTTGCTGGATGACCTTGGTCAAGAGCCCTTGCCTCTGTGTTCCCAGAAAGAAGCCAGAGATGTGGGGCGGTGCGCTTGACAGGGTGCTTTGCGGTGCAACAAGGTCACCTCACACTGCCAAGGCCCACAGCGTCTCCAACAGGGACATGGAGCCGTTGGCCTGGGGGTAGACTGTGGCCTGGGGCTCCAGCCGCCATTCCCAGGCTGGCGGTCTCTGTGCTGCCACAGAGAAGGCAGTGGTGACGCCCACACAGCGTGGCTGTAGGCAGGACCAGCCCCACCCTCACCCAGGAGCCAGGGCTGGCTGGATGGCGGTCACCGTGCAGCCTGCCTGGCCCCCACTGCCCACCCACAGCCCTGGGCCCACAGGCCACTGCTGATGACAGCCAGGGTTGGGGGAGGGACAGGCAGCCAACAGCGTAGTGATAACACAGACCTTGGCCCAAACACCTTGCAGGCATGGCGCAGAGGGGCCCAGCTGTCCCCTATGGTCACACAGTCCTGGAGGGAGTCCTGTCCCCAGAGGCCCACAGTCCCTTGAGGGCTCTTCCTGCCACACCGAGTGGGGAATGGCTGGGGAGGCAGGTCAAGGTACAGGAGGGTCCCCTGAGGCTGCCGGCCAGGCTGCCAGTGCGGACACTTTCATCTCGGTCCGCCTGTCGACCTGCCATCTCTCAGCGGCATTAAATTCCCCTCCTGCTGCAGAACAAGGGCTGCCTCAGATTCCAGGCAGCAGGGCGTGAAGATGCGGCGGCGGCGCAGGGAGGTGAGCGGGCCTCCAAGGCTCCAGCCTGGGTGCAAAGCAGCGGGCTGGTGGGGCCTGGTCTGGGGGCAAAGGTGGCCGGTGACACCAGCCTCCCAGGACCCCATCACATGCAGGTCCGCTTCCTGTTGCCATCTCTCTCCCGACTGATACCTTCCTCTCCCTTCAAATAGTGTCCCCTCAGGAGCCTTTTTGTCCCCTGTAGGCTGGGCCAAGTGTCCCTGTGGCCCCCGTCACAGCACTGATCACTCTCGGTGACATGGCCTGGCTTCAGGGCTGTGGTCTGCCACTCAGTAAGGGCGGCACTGGCACCTTGGCCCGCGGAGGGGGCAGGACACCTCTGTGGGCTGAATAAATACGTGATCTCCTCTTTCTGGGCATTTCTTTCTTCTCGTGAATTTCCAACCCTAATTAGGGTGCTGTCCACAAGGAGGGAAACTTA